TTGGGTCGCGAAGATCAAAATTAACGCCGGTATAGTTTGCGGAGTGTTGTCTGGCGAATCGTTGATTTGTCGTCGCGAGGAACCAAATATGAAAATTTGCGAATGTAGACCCTTTTCACGTGATATGACAGGCGGGTGAACATCCCGGTATCGTGGACTCTTTGTACAACCCCTTTACTTAGTTAAGCCTTTGTATACGTCTTCTTGTATTATTGACCTACCGTACCATAAAACATAGCGCGGTAAGCCGCATGGCCCACTACGGCTCATTTTTTAGGTTACCGACCGAAATGTTCGATGCTCTTGATATTATTCGGCGCGTTTCGAAGAGATTTCATAGTCACGTGCCGTTTAACATAGATAAACAATGGGACTTGGTTAGTTTTGTCGTTGACCACTCACGGTTCGTCTTCAAAACACTACAAAATTTCTCAGCACCACTTAGTATTACTGTTCTAGAGTCATTGAGTCATGCCACGTACGATTGATCGATTCATCGTTATCGATTGCCTCGCTGATTTTCAACTGATTTTGCTTTTACCTACAGGAACTCTGTCGTTAAAGGTAAGCTAGAGGGCGATGGATGAACAGAGTATGTCAATCTCGGAGCAGATAGACGAGTTTCGTGAGCTCTTTGACCCGGACTGTTCGGAAGAGTATTTTTTACGGTGGAAGGTGAGTCCAATTAATGATAACCTTTAAGCGCCATTATAACATCGCTTCTTCAGGCTACGTTAAGAAACTGCATGCGATCGCATTTACAAAAGTCAAAGACGTTTTCAGACCAACCCGACAATATAGCAAAAATTGAGCAAGAGGTACCTCCGCAATAGCCACACTCATTCGTCGAATTCACATCTTCTTTGCCAGTTCTGGCCTATGTACCCAATTTTCTTTTTGATCAAAGACGACGGTCTCCAGCAATGAATAAAATTTGCGCGATACTACATGGCGAAAATTTTTGATAACGACAGACATCGATGTTCGACTGCTTCAGTTTCAGCCGAAGTACGTTTTTTATTCGTCGTCCGGAGTGTTCATTCGTAATGGCGGTTCTCAGGGTTCTCAGGAAACAACGAGACAATCAATGGTGCGTCTTCTCTTCATTTGATACAACTGAGTGAACAGACGAACTTTAGCGACGACAGATAGCCGTTTCGGATCACAGTTCTGTTGCAACTCAACCAAATCATAATCCGGTTCGGAATCCTCGAAGTGAATCACCCCCAGACATCCTCGCGAAACTAGAAAGAGAAACTGCAGAATTGACGCATTTCCTCANATCGTGTACCCCCGACATGTCCCAATATTTACACCATTTCATCGGGTTTGGCTGCAAAA